CTAAGCGATTTAAAAGTTCGTTTCGAATTAACGCAGTTCTTAATAATAATTTTTCCTTCTTTTTAGTTTGATTGATTAACCCGTATAGATAAGAAACATGTATTCAAATCATAAGAAGTCCTGTTAGAAATATTCAACAGCATTTTTATAAAATTACAGATAAACTCACTAAAATCATTATATAAATTTTCATTTTTACGGTAACTATTTTAGGCTGCTGCCACTCGAGAAGAGAGTTTTTAAAGAAATAATGTAGTGAATATAAAATATGTATGACAACCTCTAACAATCTTTCGGGAATTCTAGAGATATGCTGTTTTAGAATATTTTGTGATTTTGCTTTTAATTTGAATTTTATATGGTGTTAACGCGAAGAACGAGATGTTTAATAAATAAAGTTAACACATTAAAAAGTTAATAATAAAAAGATTTTTTTGTTGCCATTTTGCTTAAAATCATATGCTGCTATGCAGCTTTTAGAAATTCTGTAATTTTGTTGTTTAACTGTATGGGGCGTATGTGGGAAGAAAATGATGCTTAATAATTAAAGTAAGAAGACTAAAAAAAAAATGGGAGTTAGCAGGAGTAAATATAAGAGCAGAGTGGTTTACTGAGGATTTAAAAAAACCTTAACAAACCCCTTTGGAACACCGTTAAAATTTGAAACATTTCAAATTTGATTCTTTTCCTTGATTTATTTATTTATTTTTATTTTGCAAATGATAATCTATTTTTCTAAATGGCAATTGAGTTTTAACACTTATGATGATGGTGCTTTATTTTCGAAAAATATTAATGCAAATAATATGTCATAATATTTCAAAATAGAAGTTTTTAAAGTTTGCGCTTTATTTACCGGTAAAGACTTGATTTTTTATCCTTTGGCAACAGTAAGCATTATTTTTATTTGCTTAAAGGTACAATTTCTTTTGAGGCGTTAGACAGACTGTGGTTTGAAAATTACTTTTTTTTTTTTTTTTTTATTTTATTTCATCTTTTTCCCCCTAAACGGAAAATGGTTGAAGTATTGCTAAAAAAAAGCACTCCAATGTAAACTTTCAAATTAAATAAAAGTGCAGTCTCAGATTGCTGTAAATCGAAGAGTAGGATATGTCCATCTAATGGCGGTGTGTTATCTCTTTTTAACAGAAAACACTTGTAAATTAAATCTAATTAAACTACGACCAATCTATAGAAACAACGCTAACTGTATATTTTCAATAATAGCATGTTTAGATTATTATTTATTAGATTTGTAACAGAAAAATTACTCTCCAGATAAATTAACTCATTTAGCAGATGAAAATAATTGCTCTTTCTCTTCTCTCCTGGTGGCAACCGGACTCTCAAAAGAGGCCGAATCCAGCTCATCATCTCGGGCTAATAACTCGCCGCTCCACCAACCGTTCTAAATGTTCCATCAAATGAACTCGACCCTCAAAAGTGAAGAAGACAGGGCCTTAAAAGAGTCATTTGCCACTGCCGGTGGTCCGGTAGCCTTTTGTGTAGATTCCATGTACACAAAATGATCCTCTAATTTGCCAGCGATGTAGGGGGAGTGATATTTAGTGAGGGTGGACAGACTTCAAGTGCCGGGCTTTTGATCTCGTGTGTTCGGCGGGCATGCTTTTACGGGTTTATTCGCCTGGAAGCCGCGCGGGGCGACGGAAGGTCTCACACACCGATGTTCCGGGGGTGAAAACTGCAGCGGTAGCTAATCTTCCGACGGCTTGACACCGTCTGGGGAACAGCGTGATCACGTCTCCATGCGAAGGGAACTGAAGATTATCATTTGCCTGGAATAGCCACTTTAAGATCACGGAATATTCCACTTGCAAACTTAACAGGAACCAGCATTCTGAATGAAAATTAAATTAATAAAATTATTCTAAAAGCAGCATTCATGACGCTAATTAATAACCACTAAACAGCAGCGCTTAGAAGTAAATAAGGATGGCTAAGGTGAAATATTTTATGCACTTACAATTGTAAGTTATAGATAGTAGCTTGTAAGGTATATTATAATTTTATAACAGTTATTTTGATTTTGAAAAACCTTTCCTATCAATTCTCGTTTCCACTTCCAACTCCCTACCAGAATGAATTTTTAGAATCGCGTTGAATGCAAACGAATTAGAAGAAGAGTTTAGGGAAGGTTCAACTAACATCGATGGGGAGTGCTAGTAGTCCTTAGTAGCACGTGTTTCCCTTCCGGCTAATTCACTCTTGAAGCTGTTACGCTCGGCCGTATTATACTGATATTCGCCAGCTAGCTTAACCTTCCAGCAGAATTTTGCGCATTTACCACAAATTCATTTTTTAATGCACATTTTTCTCCTATCGAAGATGAGACGTCTGAAAGTCATTTCTATTCCTCCTTTCTATCCTTCCCCACATCATGGAATGTGCCAACAATAAGTCATTCGACTTTTTTTTAACTGGGTTTTTGTGCTACGTGGCAGCTTTTTCATAAAAGTTACGACACACGCGTGGTCGTGTTTTAAAATTCGGAAAATATTTTTTTCTCAAATATTTTGTAATTTTCTGTTATTAATTACCGTGTATTATTTTAATTTGAATACATTTGGCTCTGTAAATTTTATATCGGTTTTCATGGGAAAAAAAAAAAAAAAATATGTGCAACCAGCTGATTTTGCTCGGATTCTTCAAGAATTATCTGATGAAGAAAAGGAAAACAAGGAAACTTTTGGATGGGAGAACAATAGCGATTTCCATTCCTTGTTTTCTTTTATTTCTAATTTTTAGAAATAAATAAAATCATTAAAGTTAGTTTAAGGTGCGTTTTCGTAACCAGTAAGAAGTAAATTTCCTTGCAGAAGTAAGTAATGCTAAACTTACTTTTTTTCCTACCAAGGTGTTTCCCATTTTATTGTCTATTACTTGCCTTTGATGATATTAAATCAGCTTCGATTTTAAATATAATTATTAAATAATAAGTTAAAATTTTTCTATGATGAAATACATCATTGCATTTTCATCTCACTAACATATGAATTTAAAAAATAATTTACTTATCATTGAATGTGATATCATTTGTATTTTGCAATAATAAGATTAATATTTTATTTCTTAACAAATTTATGATCAATATTCACCCATTTCTGTCGTTTTTCGTGCCAAAAACGGCAAAATAACGGATGTCGTAAAAAATACGACGCGCGCATGCTCATGTAAAATTGCCAAGCGGGCGTGCTGGAAGGTTAATTTAAGGGCCAACTACTTTAGATAAGTGTGTCTAGCTTCAGCCAAGTCTCGTTTAATTTCAGTTTAGTTCTTCTTCTTTAATCTGAGTCAAATCCCGAATAGAGGCTTACCTGTAAGCCCAAGAATGGGCCAACTGTTTTTGTGATTTGAGCGAATAAAAGAGTATTTTAACCCTTCTCGAATCTACGTCTTAGTTGTTTGAACTCAGCGATAAGTCGCTACATAGGTTCCTCGACGTTTTATCTTCTTAGACAAAAGGAGCAAGAAACCCTACAAGCTGTATAAAAAGAAAAGCAAAATATTGACTATGAAACAAACAAGCAACGAAACTTGATATTACAGCAAGAATTTACAGATGAGAATTAGTAGGAATACTTTAGCTGCTTTTGACGCTTCAAAACTTTCAGAGAGGTCGTTAACAGTGTGTTGAAACAGCTTCGGAAACTTTAACAGGACGGGGCAGAAACTTTAAAGAACTTTCACATTTGATTTTGCAGATCACACGTCAAGAAACAGACCCGAAGAGTCTCCCACCCCTTTCCGCTACCATCAAACTTCTCGACAGGACTTCCAAACAAGCAAACAAATCGTTGGCATCTGGAGTAATTTGTAGTTTTAGACGCACTACCAATACAGCACAAAGTCCGTAATCCGGACGTCCATTATCCGGAATGATCTATAATCCGGATCTATAATCCGGATAAAAGCCACAAACGTTTTTGTATGCTTTACGCATGCGCGTAATGCTTTTACGCATGCGCGTTGGGAGGATGTGTCTCCAGATACGTTAAAAAATGCTTGGCATAATTTATGGCCAGCTACCATGTTTCATGGTGAGGACAATGATCATGATAGCCGCGAATTTGAAGGTTTTCGGACATCGCAAACTAAAGGTGAAATTTTCCAGTTATTGGATTTTATAAAGAATTGTGGAGAAGCGGTAATAAAGGAAGATGATATAACAAAAGTTTTTCATTGCGACGACAATGCCCCAATCATCAATCAATTAACGGACGGCGAAATCTGTAGTATGGTTCTAGATCCAGAAAATACCGCTTCCGATAGTGAAGAAAGTGACAGAGAGGTTATTGAAAACGAAAAAAATTTCGATTGAAAAGTTAGTCGGTATTCTCGACACAGCAATTACAGGACTTGAACAGTGGAACTTTGTAACTGAACAAGAAATTATGTCTGTTTATAGAATTAAAGAGAAAGTATTAGCACAAAAAAAAAGAAACTTAACAACTTAAATTGAAAGAAATTTTTTAATAAAGTAAACAAATAAATATTAAGCTTTTTTTTTTTTTTTTTTTTTTTTTTTTTTTTTTGTAAATTTTGATACCCTTTAGATCATAATTGCTCTTTATTTCATAAATTACGGTTTCATATTTTTAATAGTATAATTTCTGCATGCCATCTTACCAGATTTAAAGTGATGATCTATAATCCGGAATCGCCGAAGTTCCGACGAATCCGGATTACGGACTTTGTACTCTATTAGCCAGTTACCTCAATGAGTATTGGAAATGTTTTTAGGGATGCGGCGCGTACGATTTCCAATATTCATACTTATTATTAAGGAAACCTAGTTGTATTATCCGACTTCGTTTAAGAAGCTATGAAATTAACAGCAAAATGACAGCGAGCTCGTTTTACGTGAACATTTTCGTATGGTTATATCGGTTACATCAACATTTCATTTTACTGTCCAATAATTTTGCACTATACTCGGCTGCATTAGAAAAAACAAAATAAAACTTATTTTAAGTTCTTACCTTCTCGTTCTGGTATGCTGTGACTGCGATGAATTCTGTCTCCTTGAAAACGTATGTCCTGAAGGTCGAGTATGGAAGCTTCAAAATGTCGTTCGCCCTCACCAGATGGAACCTTGGCTGGTACTTGTGCATCGAGTTCAGAATTGTCTGCGTTATCAGCAAAAGAACAACAGAAAACATTGTGATAACTGATAGTCAAAAAAGTACATTTTACACACAACTTTAATACAATTTCTGAAGTTAAAGATATTTTCTCAGTTCTCTGCAACGCTATAAAATCAGTTCCTTAACTACATCTCGGTAAACACTTTACCACAACTGCGACCACCTGAGGAATTTAGAACCGAAGAAATTTAGAACTAATGTTTCACAAAGACGCAAATGTTGAAATTCATAATTAATAAATTTCAAATAATCTAGTAAATGCAACAAAGAATTTAACAAATGTAAAAATCAAAACTTTTAAACAATTAATACCCCAATCCAAATTTCTGCAGCTTAAAGCACGAAATTACTGGGCATTTATATTTTGTTTTTAAAAAAAATCTTTTGTGGTTATATATATAACTTTATATATGAAATGTTTAAATTCCTTCAAAATGTTATCTTGTTCCTTATGTTTAGAATAAGATAACACAGTTTAAAAAAAAAAAAAAAAATTGAAAATTTTCAGATTTCATATTACGCCCAAAGGGGCGATTTTTCAACATTTTGTGTGTTACCTTTATTTATTAAATATCATGTTCTTCGCACTTAAACAATAAAATTCAGTTCAGCAATCTCGCAAAATAATTTAAAAAGAGCGTATCTTTAGTATTCCGGATACACAGTCTCACACGCTGAAAATAATTTTTTTAGTCCAAAGTGGTTTTGTCCTTGAAGGACTATTGTTTTCGTTTTGTGAATTTGCGTTGAGTCACTATAAATGTCCGATTCACTTTTCAAACTGTTGCCACAAAATGTTAGAGCCCCACATTATATTTGAAGAAATTAAATGATGAAAAATCTGCATAAATGTATGCATGTTTCTCGTATTATGATAAAACAACGGTACTTAGAGCCATCGAATTTTGAATGACGTAATCCTCCTACGAATATGGGCATGTGGAAGACCAAATTTGAAATTTGGAATTTGTTTTATTATCGATTTCATATTTTGTAAAACTTTAAAGAATTTTTGATTAACAGACTCAATGATTTCAAAGCGAGCAATGGCAACACTTTAAAATCATTCATTTTAAAATTACTTTGCGACATTGCTATTGAGCTGAATTTTATGGTTTAAGTGCAAAGAAACATTATTTAATAAATAAAGGTAACACACAAGAGGTTAAAAAAAGCCCCTTTGGACGCAATTTAAAATCTGAAACCTTTCAGATTTTTTTAAAATAATGTTACCTGAATTTTTAATTTTCTACATTATTCTGAATGAAAATTTATAACATCAAACATCAAAGCATAGATTTAAACGAGGATTTTTTTTTTTTTTTTTTTTTTGTCTAAAGGGGTTTTGTCCCTGAAGGACTATTGTTTTCGTTTTGCGATTTTGTGTTGGAAACTTTGAAAGGCTATATCACTTTTCAAATCGTTGCCACCAAATGCTATCACGCTGTATTATATTTGAAGAAATTAAATAATGAAGAGTGTACATAAATGTATGTATGTTTCTCGCATTTTGATAAAACAACGGTACCTAGAGCCATCTAATTCTAAGTAACGTAATCTTCCACCGAATATGGACATATGGCAAGCCCTAATTAGGAATTTGTTTTATCATCGATTTCATATTTTGTAAAACCTTAACGGAATTTTGATTGTGAAACTCAAATATTTCAAAGCGAGCAATGGCAACACTCTACGGGGAGGAAAAAAAAAAAAAAAAAAAAAACTTTTTACAAAATATCCAAAGCGAGTGGAACTCGCTTAAAAGAAATTCCAAATTAGGACTTCCAGATGCCAATATTCGGTGGAAAGTTACGTTATTTAAAATTGGACTGACTCTAGGTACCGTTGTTTTATCACGATGCGAGAAACATCTATACATTTAGGTAGATTCATCATTATTTAATTTCCTTAAAAATAATACAGGGCGATAATATTGGGTCGCAACAATCTGAAAAGTGAAACGGACATTTAAAGTTTTCAACGCATCGAAATTACTTGTCTTTCTGGGCAAACTGCCTGTTTGGATTAAAAACCCTCTTTCGCCCAGTGGTAAACTTTTTCTACTTTTCAATGATAATTCAATGTCTGAAATCCATTACACAGCTGTGATCCACCTGTCTCGTAATAGACACATTTCCATTTATTCTCTTTTTTCCTTATCGAACATTTCCCACTTCGGATCGACGTAGAATGGAAAGAGTTTGTATTTGCTTTCGAGCAGCTTTCAGAATCTCGCCACCGGGTTGCGCGCACCAACGGGGAAAATACGTAGAAGAGGTTAAATTGCATAAAATCACGAATGTGAAGATGTCGATTCTATTTTTGTCGCCAGAACATGCGTTTTACAGCCACGCAGCTCCTTTTTCTGTCACAATAAGAACTTCAAGTGCCACGCACTAAACCGAAAGTAAGAACAGGTAAATAATAAAATTGTACAAAAATAAATATGCGCACAAAAATTCCGAGTCAGCTGCGCAGGAGATTTACGATTTCTGTATCTGAGACTCCGAACTATGCGACGATCATAACTTTTCGTTTTATTCGCTGATTTTTTTTTTTTCATGCTTTTTTCATGCACGTGATTGATGATGCTAAGTCATTCAGACAGATGGTCAAAACGAACTGTTCATGTCTCACATGAAAAGATCCCGTACAAATAAAAGGGAACCCAGATACCCAGATACCCAGATATGAGACAGAAATAGCTCCGAAATTTAACTGAAAATGTTTACACAAATTTTTCTCAAATAATGACTTTTTGCTTGTTATATTTAAACCACCTAGGATATCTTATTTCATTTCTACCAAGAGTAGGCATATATACAAAATTTTATTAATTTAATAAGCTTGAAAGAAATATGTTCAAATATTTTTAAGATTCGAAAGATTGACCACCCCAAACGTATGGCTACAAGCTATGAATACGTACATGATACTATGCAAACAATCTCTATACTTCAAGCTCCTGTGATTTAAATTAGTTCTTACTGGTTCTTCTCAGAGCCTAACTACAAAGCAGAAAAGTTACAGTCAATAGTGGCGCGCGTTGTTGCCGCTAATACTGCTAACTATTAATACACAAGACTCAAAAAGCCGCCCAACCGGTATTGTAGTTAGCGTCGCTGACTGCCGCGTTGAAGGGCACGAGTTCTAATCTCAAAGAAGGCACGGATGTTTGTAAATGTATAGTGTCCTTGCGGCATGGGGGCACTCTAAATATGCGGCGAGTCGAAAGGTTGATGGTAGGGAATGAGGGGTTTGGAGGCCCTTTGAACTAGTCCCCCCCGGGGTGCTCTCCCTCATAATTGGGGGCGGAACTGAGCTAAATCGCACTGTCGTCTGTATGGCTCTCAAGGCAGTTGCCAAAAACAGGCGTATCTTGCACTCCTTGCCACGAGGAATTTCGTGGGGTTGAGCTAATTAGACAAGTGAGCATTACTAACAACAAGAATAGCAACACACTCAAAGATCAAATCATTGGTCAAATTATTGATCAAATTAGGGTCCTCAATGCCGATGTCAAAGTCTGGCCTGGATTGCTGGGCAGCTGAAGATGTGATGGCGAGACAGTGGGATGTCATCTGGGCAATGAGGACAAATGTTGGTGTAACGACGCTGTCCGTCTTCAGAAATCCTCATCCATTTTAAGTGGTTTCTCCTAAGTCTGGTTATGATAGTCGATATGGTTCTGTCACAGTTCAAATCCGGATGGAGTTTCCTTTAACTTGACCGATTAGTCTTTGGCTGGCAACTGCATTGGCATCAACAAGGGTTAGGCAGTTGGATGGCTGAGGAGAATCACGGGATGCCTTTGCAAGCTCATCGGCCTTCTCATTACCAAAAATATTTACATGAGCCGGTATCCATTGTAAGATGCAGGATCTTTGGGCAGCAATGATTTTGTTTGTGAGCTCAATGATCTGATGACTAAGTTGACATTTGCCCTTCTGGATCACTTGCAATGCTGATCTGCAGTCAGAGAAGATGATGATGCCCTTGGAACTCTTGTTCTTCTTTAGAGAGATAAATCACCAGAGCACTTTTGATGGCGACGGATCAAATTATTGGTCACGACTTGCGAATATTATGATTAAAATCAAAGAGAAGATTCAGTTTTTACACCTTAGCTAACTCCTTTTAACTCTCAGCTCCTTAACTAATTTACAGTAGCAGCTGCTTGATATACTAAAATTAAGACGTGACTTTGGCAACAAACCTTTCGCAATGACGACACGCGTTTGGCTGACAGAGAAAACTAGTTGCTCAACACTTAATCAAGATTCAGAGAAACCTTTCATAGCTCTAACACTACTCTAAAGCGGCTTCCACAGCAATCTCGGAATAAATTTCGTCCATATCACGCTTACATTCTAATTCTGAACTACGACGCATGTGTCTCAACAAATATCGTGAAGACACAAGGAAGGCGGCGAATTATCCGACAAAATAAATCAACGCAGGTACTTTAATATGTACTATACCTTGCAAATATCAGCTACTGAACGAATCCCTTGATTCTAGTTCAATTACACTCGTTAGGTTGAGAAGATTTCGTCTCCAACGAATTACTTTCTCTGAAGTCGAAAACATAGAAAGCCGAAAACAGAGACATTTATTAAAGAAGTGATGTCTATTAATACTTTCAGTATTCTTTTAAGTTGTTCATTAAACTTTCAGTAAAATAATCCTCATCTTAATGTTGTTGCTTCTAGTATATAAAGTTTGGAAATCTTAGTAATCATAAACTCTAACTGAACTTCAGATAAACTGGAAGTGAATTATCGTTAAGTCTAAAATAACAGCCGAAACTCGATAAGTACACAGAAGTGTATACAAGACTATTTCATTTAAAACTAAGAAGCACAGAAGGACCACTTGGTGCTTCTGTTCATCTTAGTTTAAAATAAGGGAATCTTTTACACCCTTCTCAAGATCAACCTGTAAGGATCTTAAGTTTTACTAACGTTTATTTTATTTTAAATCTTTACTAC